AATTGTACAATAGTTATTTATAGTAATATTTATTTATAGTTTAGTTATTTATAATTATTTATATTATTAGATTAATTATTATTAGTTTAGTATAAATAGATTATTATCATGTTAATAAAATGACACAATGTTAGAAGAACTCTGGCAATTTAGAACTTTGGCAATTTAACTTTTGGCAATTTAACTTTTAGCAATTTAACTTTTAGACAAATAATAATTTTGAACAGTTTTGAACAGTTTGGACAAGCTTTGAACAATGTTAAATTGCGATGGGCAATACTAAATTTCAGTTTTAGATGGATAATCAAGAGATAATCAATTCATTAATGTAATCTAAAAAGATACTTAAGATTGGGATTTTGGAGTTGATTGAACTTTACCAAGTTTCAACTTGGAATTGGAAATAATATTGGAGATTTAGGAAAATATAATGATAATTAATGATTATATTAGTTGTTAATAAAGAGTTACTAATATGGTTTCATATTAGAAAATGATTGATAATTAATAAAATTAATATTTAAAATAAAATTCATAAAATAAAATAATGTTATAAAATATCAATGAATAAAAGATACATTAAGGAGAATTATCGCAGTTTGAAATTTTGAATAAATTATAAATGATAAAATCTAAACTAAGTAAGGATATATATATTTGTAAATGTTAGGATTTCATCTATCAGTATATGACAGATGCCAATAACAGCATTAAAATTACCCAATTATTAAATATTTTTTAAATTGTAATTTAATTATGCAAAAATAATTTTATTACTATTTAATTTATTTTAATAAAATAACACAGGTCGAAAAGTAAAAAATCAGGCATCAATCAGTCACCAATCGGTCACCAATCAGGTAGCTGATTGGTAACTAATTGGTGACTGATTAGCATTTTTGCCAAATACCATTACCAATTAGACAATTTGCTAACTTTTGATCCAGTGATCAGAAAAGGATAAAATATAGCTCATTGGAATTGTCTCAACAAGACGAATCTAATGGTAGTAAAATCGCATTTCTAGGATTAATACTTGATAAGAAATTAAGTAAAATATAAAAATAAAAATGTATCATTTATATTTTATTTAATTTTTTATTAAAACTATTAATCCTAAAAATGCGATTTTACTACCATTAGATTCGTTTTATTGAGATGATTCCAATGAGCTATATTTCATCCTTTTCTGATCACTGGATCAAAAGTTAGCAAACTGCCTGATTGGTGATGGTATTTGGCAAAAATGCCAATCAGTCACCAATCAGTTATCTGATTGGTGACTGATTGGTAACTGATTGATGCCTGATTTTTCACTTTTTAACCTGTGTAAATTTAATAATATAAATTTTTATTATAATTCAATTACTAGATTAATTTTTAAATTAGCATACTTATATATTGTTTAGAATCCTAAATTAAAATAATATTTATTTTTCATTAATAAGTTGTATCTAAAGGTTATAATTAAAAAAATAGGAAAAGTTAGATTAATGAATAAATATTATATTATTATATTATTAAAAAAATATTGATTAAGGCTTAAAAGATAAAAGTTTATTAAGATTCATAATATTTTAATAAAAAAATTATATTATATTAGAATTATAATTATAGTAATTAAATTTTATTAAGTTAGCTAAAAAACTTGATGATTGATATATTATTCAACTTATAAATATAAAAGAGAAATATTCAGTTATTAGAATACAAAAAATTTGTGAGTTATATTTATATAATATGAATCTATAGAAATTAATTTTGTAATTTTGTAATTTTAAAATTTCAAATCTTTGTTTTTATTTAACAATTAATTTCAAATACTATTAGTATTAGAAATCATTTTGGTTTTTTGCATATTTTACAATGAGTTTATTGTTAAAAAAAAAAATTTTGTATAACTATTATGAAACATTAGAAGTTCAAATATTATATATTATTTATACTAATAAATTCTATAGTATAGCTTTGGAAAAAATATGAACTTCTATTTCTTTTATAATATGGCATAAAGTTTTTTAATAAAAAAGTATTTATGAATAAAGAACCTAAATGCTAGATGATTGAAATCATTAATAATAACAAATTTTATTAAAGACATGAAGAAAGAAGTTGGCTTAAATTTAGTTCTAAATTATATTTTTGATAGGAGGTTAATAAATATCTATGGGTTAAATTGTTGATATCAAAATTCATACCATAAATTTCTTTATTTAACATATTCATGATCAAAGGATTTGATAAGAATTTGCACATAACGTGATATACCGTAACTAAACCATTTGTATTATAAAAAAAGAAATCATGATCGTAATCATCATCGTTCCAGGAAGCAGGATTTATAAAACTGCCTTGTAAAATAATCATTTTACAAGTCACGTGAATTATATTATTGTCAAATTGAGAAAAGAAACGTAAAACTTGGGCCGGAACTTGATTTCCAGGGGTAAAATTATTCATATTTGATGTTTCTCTGAAGTGAGATACAAGATAAAAAATTTATCGGTTTGAGTTAATGAGGTTAACGAAAGTAGAATATTGTTACAGGTTTTACAGCCTTATGGGTAACGAGAAAAAATAATCTAAATTTATCTACAGTATTACAGTGGATAAATAGATTAAAAAATTTATTGGATTTTTTTTGGAGTTAAAGGTTACTTTAATAATTTCCAAAGACTGCGCACTTTGAGATTATAAGAATTTGAGAAAATTTAGAGAAATAAAAACGTATTTCCACTCTATTTATAAATCAAATATCTTTAACTCAGGGTTGGCGCGGGATACTATAAAAATGGGTTGAATAAATTAAGAATAATTCTTTTTTTTAAAAAAGGACATTTATAATTCCTGAAGTTTTTTTTTTTTATTTTTTCTTTATTTATTTTGACTCGGGGAAAAATGGCTTAGGATCATCATAGGATAGGGGAATTTTTAATTCAATTGGGTGATCGGCATTTTGCACCATACCTGTTTTAAACCGATAATTCTGACCTGCCAAAAAGAAGGTTTTATCAGATATAATCAAAAAAAAAATATGGCTTATTAATATAAAAATGCTTAAAAACGAGAATTGGCATCAGTGTCGTGCACTACAAGCAGAAGTTTTACAAGTTAAAAAAAACCAATCATTTATAAGTAAAATAAATTCAACGAATCTATTATTTAACTTATTTTATACTGTACTTAAGGAGGGGAGTGTTATGATTTAATTAAATAACCTTTTTCGCCTCTATAAAAAATCACGGGTTAAACGTCAAATATCGTTATCGTTCAAATTGAAAATTCTGAATTTGGTAATATTAATCTCCGAAGTATGAAGTATATCGATATTATTTAAAAAAATTTTTTATCCGAAATCAAAATTCCGAGAATAGCGGTTTATATATTATAATTCTTTATTTTAATCCAATATAGGTAATTATTCAATGAGAAGATTTTAACAAAGCAAAAAATACTTAGATCGACTTTGTATCACCTTAAATTGGCTGAATTTTACATTATATTTGGCGCAGAAAACTCTAAACGATATCATTAAAATTTACATATTTTATTATATATTTAAAGTTCAAGAAGAGCTAAAATAACTTTGTAAATATCCCTTTTTCGTCGTTACCCAGGCCATATTCCTTTGTTTATATTTGCAAGAAACTTCATAACGAATTTGTATTGATCTAAAAATAATTAAAAAAAAAAAAAATTTCCAGGATACAAAGTCACGCGCGCATGATCTTTCATTCTATTAATAGGTTCTAATTAAAAAAATTTTTGCGGAATAAGCTCAATTGTCATAACGGAATGTTAATTATTTCCATCAATAGGTATCAAATAATTTTACAGTATATACATTTAAAAAAAAAAATCTATAATTCCGGAGAATTTCTTAATATGTACTATCATACACAAATCAAATGTGTTGTTGTTTATTCCCATAATCATGGAAGAATTTTAAGAATCTTCCAGATTTTATAATTAGAATAGTATCGGAATATTCTCCGCGGTGATCATTAAATTTGAAGATCCGATCCAATTAGAATAAATTTTATGGTTATGGGTACTCTTATGACTTTCCAGGCGAAATTAAAAATTTAGCTAAAGTAGGATTGATCTTACTAATTATAAAAACCATCAAATTAACGACATTCATCTCAATCATGTTAGTTCAATAAGAATGTTCATACCGATCATATGAAATTCTCGTACAATTGAGCGATCCGAATCCCGTTATAACACAAACTCGTCATTCAAAATCATAATCCCGATAATTCCAATTCCAATATTCATTATCTTGATACTCATTATTCCGACAAATTATCTGTAAAATATTATAATAATCATAAAAGATTGGTCTTTTGCGAAGTATTATAAAAATCATTACATATGGATAAAGAATATTAATTGTTGTGACCATTTTTGCATAATACTACAGAAATTATTACATATTAATAATAAATATAAATTAGCTTTTATAAAATTATTATAAAATTAAAAAAAAAAAAAATAAATGTGTCGGGATAGTGAGTGTCGGGGTTTTGAATGTTTCACTTTCACTTTAAAGGGTTAGAAGTTAGAACCAGTCGATCCTAGAAGCATTTAGTAATAGTTTTACAATTAAACGCTTAGAAATAAGATAAATTTCTTTCGTAATAATTTCAACATTCATTTCATTATTGTCGCAGTAAAAACAAACTGTAATTTCTTCGAGTCACGGCGAGAATACAAACTGAGGGTGCTTTTTTAAAATTACTTTTTTTTATATAATGTTAAATTATGCTAGTTGCTAGTTGCGAATTCATAAACATAAATAATATAAAAAACGAGTATTCAGTATTTATTCTTAATTTGTTTTGTATGTTTATATGTACATACGTTAACTACAGATAAGTGAAATAAAAACTTTTAATGAAACACTAATATCGATTTATAACTAATAATAATAACAAATTTAAACAGCGAGTCAAGATATAATTTAAAATATTAAAATATTCAATAGTTAAAAGCCATCATTTCAAAAATAGCCGTTTCTCTGCTTCGCGACGTCTTATCAAGCCAGGCAATTTTTTTTTATTAGCATATACCCACCTGCCAAACTCATTTGCAGCACCTTGAGTATCACCTGCTTTTAGCTTTTTGAGCAACGTAGATGACCCAAGATTGCCACAGCCAACGTTGAATGTGAAGGAAACCAAAGCGGAAAATTGATTTGAATTAAGTCCTGGAACTTGACTATTAACGTAATTTTCGTACATAGATAAATCCCTTCTAAGTAAATCTTCAGCTTGAGCAATGGAAATAGGAGCATTAATTTTATCGCCGTCATTATTAGCTTCGCAGTTATGACCATATCCAATAGTTTTCTTGCCCTGATGTATTATTTCAGTCATACCGACGTACAATCATTAATATAAAATAATAACGAACTTGCCGCTGGGCAATTGTAAAAATTACTCATAAATCCTTCAAATGATTTGACAAGGTTTAATCCTTCGTCATTAATTCTGCATGACATTTTGTCAATGTTATTATAAAATTCTTCTTGGAAAAAGCGAGATTTTATTTCAAGTAATGTAGACACATACAGTATATATACACGATTCGAATTACTACAATACTGATAACCACAGATACGGGAACTACAAAGGGGTATAATATTTATGATCTATACTGCTAATTAATATATGGAAATATTACAAAGAAAAGTTGTAAATGATATATTTTGAGTATATACACAATGAGATGAATATGTTAAACCATGTTTTGCCTGCTTATCTGTTGATCGTTAACGAATAGAAACTGTAGAAAGTAAACGTACTAACCATTTTTAAATTCTAAATAATAGTGTTAAGTTATTTTGATGTATAGAATAATGGGCAAATTAGTAATTTATAATGAAGGTTGTCCGAACTCCGAACGATATTCGTTTTAGAGTGAGAAATTTTTACAAATAAACAAGAAGAAAATAGAGAAAAGATGTTTGCTGCATTTACATAACTGAATAAAAAAATTTATTTAAACGTTTATTTATTTTTATCAAAATAACGTTCTGTTTCGAACTAATTGATTTAGTAACATCACATTGTAAATTCTGGATATTTATTTGTATAGTATTTAGGTGGCATATGACTTGCTCAGGTTATGGCATGTCTCTATCAATTTAGCAAAAATGATCAACATTCCAATCATCCAAGTGAACCGTTATATGCTATTTATTGTTTAATAATTTTTTTATTCACAACCAATTAATTTTGGTCACATTTTATTATGTCGGATTATCGGATACTTTTATATTTATTTATTTTTTTATTACTTTATTCGGTATTTATTTACATTAATAAAATTATCCTATGTATAAAACAAAACTTATAATAGAAAGTGATATTCATCGGTCTAAAAATGCTTTAAAGTTTGAGAATTAATATTCCAATATTCCAAATATCGACTCATTTATTATTTCTATTGTCTAGGTAGATTCCTATCATGTACGTGTGTTGAGCTTTTGTTACTTTGCTTTTTGAGATAACAAAAGCTTCATTGAACAAAAGCAACAAAAGCATGCATATCCTACCATATATGTATAAAGTTCAATTTATATAAGCAGAGCAATTTTTTTTTTAGGCGACATTTACCTTTAACCTTCTCCTTTTTCGTAATCGCGCTTTGTTAGATCGAAAATTATCAGTTTATATTATCAGTTTATAGACTACATTTTTTTTTTTTTTTTTTTGATAAAGATGAATTTGTAATCGATAATTAATTATTTAGTTAACCTAACCAGTTAAATACCGTTCCATCCCAGTTTTTTCCTTAATAAAAATTTAAAAATTGATTAATTGGTAATTACTTTAATAAAATTTCGTCAGAAGATTTAGGCAATACCGGTTACTAACCGGTTAATTTACCAGTCAATGAACCGGTTATTGGTTTGGCCCAATATCTATAAATAATATTTCTCTAATTTTTCTTATTTTTCTTTCACACCTATATTTCATTTATTTACGACTTATTATAAACGAAAGTAAAACTCATTATAATTAATAGAGAAAAACAAAAATGATAGAATATGCTGGTATGTATATAATTATTCCTTCTGATTAAATTCAAATCAATAATCCAATAAGTTCTAATAATTCTTTATTATAGTCGGTATTGATTTGGGAACGTCATACTCATGTGTCAGTGTTTGGCATAATGATAGAGCCGAAATTATTGCTAACGATTATGGTTATCGTATAACACCATCATATGTCGCTTTCACTAATTCGGAAATTCTTATTGGAGATGCTGCCAAAAATCAAATTTCTTTAAACCCTCATAATACCGTTTTTGATATTTGTCGTCTTATTGGTCGTAGTTTCCACAATCTTGAAGCCCAATCTGTCATGAAGGCATGTTCTATCCAAAAAAAAAAAAAAATATTAATAGTGTTTTAATCTTCAAATTTTTAAATTTAAAATCTATTGTAAAGTTATTTTTTATACAAATATTATTATATTAGTACTGGCCATTTACAGTCATCGAAAAGAATGAAAAACCGTATATTCGTGTCACGTATAAAGGCGAAAAGAAAGATTTTACACCTGAGGAAATTGTATCAATGTTATTGGTAAAAATGAAAGAAACCGCAGAGTATTACCTTGGCGGAGAAGTTAGAAATGTTGTAATTACTGTACCAACTTATTTTAATATTTCACAATATCAAGCTATAAAGGATGCTGGTTTAATAGCCGATTTGGATATAATTCGTATCGTTAATTCTCCAACTACGGCGGCTATTACTTACGGGTTGAACACGAAAACTAATAAAGAAAGAAATGTTCTTGTCTTTGATTTGGGAGGTGGTACTTGTAGCGTCTCTATTTTAACCATTGATGATGAAATTTTTGAAGTAAAAGCCGTTGCTGGTAACAATCATCTTGGTGGTGAAGATTTTGATGATCGTCTTATAAATCATTTTGTACAAGAATTCAGAAAAAAATTTAATAAGGATCTTACTTCCGATAAGCGTGCTCTCTGTCGTTTAAGGAATAATTGTGAATATGCAAAACGTTCACTTTCAGCATCAATTAGTGTAAACATTGAAATTGATTGTCTTCTCGATTATATCGACTTTTATATTTCTTTAACACGTGGCGAATTCGAAGAATTGAATCAAGATTTGTTTCAATCTGCAATGAAACCTATTGAGAAAGTACTTCGAGATGCTAAAATTGAAAAATATCAAGTTCATGAAATATGTTTAGTTGGTGGCTCATCACGTATTCCCAAGATTCAAAAAATGATATCTAATTACTTCAATGGCAAAGAACTAAAACTTATTAATCCCGATGAAGCATCTGCTCGTGGTGCCGCAGTGCAAGCTGCTATTTTATCTAGTGATACTTTTGAAAAAGTTCGAAATATTCTTTTACTTGATGTTACCTCTTTATCTCTTGGTATTGAGACTTCTGGCAGTGTCATTACTCCGATTATTAAGCGTAATACCAAGTTACCTTCCAAGAAAGCTGAAATATTCAAAATTTTTGCTAAAAATTTATTTTCTTTTACAGAATCTTTATATATTGATACTAATCCTGAAAATAAATCTAGTGTATTGATTCAAGTATATGAAGGTGAACGTTCCAAAATAGGAAATAACAAATTACTCGGAAAGTTTGAATTGACAATTTCTTCAGTACCACAAATTGAAGTCACTTTCAAACTTGATCTCAACTATATATTAAAAGTATGTACTATGTAGTACAATTACATCAACAAATTTTCATTAAATTATTTATTTAATTATAGGTTTCTGCTGTTGATAAATCAATGGGTAAATCACATAAAAAAAAAATAATCATCACTATTGGATTGTCAAAGGAGGAAATCAAATTCATGGGTTTGTAATGAATCTTAAAATATTTACGTTTAAATATTGTATTATTATTTTTTTTAGTATATTATTTTAATAATGACAGTCGCCGAAGCTAAGAAATATCGTGCAGAAAAAGAAAAAATTGTACAAAAAATGCAAGCACGAAATGACTTTGAAAGTTACACGTACATCTTATGTAACTTAGTTCGAGTAAGTTTCAGATTATTGGATTATTGATTACTAAAGTCTTATATGCTTGATCGTGTTTATAAATTTTCGTTCTATATAAAAAATAAAATTGGATTTAGTGTGTCGATAATATGGATAAAGTTTATGATGCAATACAAGAGTCAATTACATGGTTCAATAATAACGAAGAGGCAGAGAAGGATGAATATGAACATAAGCAAAAATTACTCAAAGAAATTGTCAGTCCAATAATGAAGAAACTTAATATCACGGATGAAACTCTATTATTTGATGTATTGGCCATTTAGAAACCGAGTAAGTACGTATATCATCAATTTATCTGATAATGGAAAGAATTTATATTTATGAAGATAATAAATTTGTAAAATAACACTAAAGATCATCAGGGAATTTTTTGCGTAGGATATTTGGGAATTTATGGAATTCCACATATTTCCGAGCTAATCCATGTGGAATTACATGGCCTAAAAATTTCATGATGATATTAATATGTGATAATAAGGAAAATAAAAAAATGATAAAATTGTACACAATAAATTATTAGGGCATTTCACCTTGACTAAAACTTTTAGTAGAGAATAGATTAGCTAAAAATTATCGATGTACTGTGTCACGTAAGTAAGAACAAAATAATTTAGGAATACGCTATCGTAGTGATAATTTAGTCGGTAGTCGTAATCTCTCTTATTTAATTTAAATAATTTTAATTAAATTTTATTAATTTAACAAATTACATTTTTTGTATAAAGACGAATACTACTAAACCACGGAAAATATTAAATTTGATTGAATTTTTACCTGTATATTAAAAACTTTGAATCTCAATTTGTAATCAAAATGACAAACTATTATTTCTTAATCTATTATGGATAGACTTTTGTAGTTTAAAAATTTTTTTTTTCCATTTTTCTTTACTTTGCAGCAATTAAATAAAATAATTATGTCTTCTTTCTCTCAAATAATTACGACACTATTGGTCAATACGCAATATATAGTAGAAAATGACCTTTCTTATATCATGTTTTTCTTTATATCACAATATTGGTCCATTAAATTTATCATATTTATTAAGAAATTAAATATCCTAAAGCATCGAAGAGACAACAAAGCTACTTTGCTATAACTTAATATAATAAAAAAATAATTTATGTAAAATTCAATTTATAATGTTTTATATTAAAAATTAATTTCTTTTAACCAATCATCAATAAATATTAGCTGATATCATACCATTATTATTATCTTCTTTTATCTCTAAAAAAAAATATACTATTTTATTTATAAGTAAAATGAATTCAAATTGCTATTAAAAAAAAGACAATGCAATTATTATTTCTTAAAAGTGTACAGGTCAAATATCCAATGAATTAGTAATTTTAGTTAAATTCCCAATTGTTTTTATTTTCAATATCAGTGGCTGTTGCTTTTAGGAATGCCAACGTTCTTTTATCAATCCAATATAGTCTCAGGGACACTTGTAACAATTGTCTCGATGATCTTCCCAATCCCATAATTTGTAATTTTTCTATAAATTACTCTAGCTAGAATCGTCGTCACACGTATGGGTCATGTGATAGGAAAAAAGGAAAATTGTTTCGACGGAGCTTAAAATTAAAGAGGAAGAATTGTTGGCGTAATAATCTGATGTAATAGAAAAGCCAATTTAGCCTGATCGGTTATTTTTTGTTATATTTGTTATAACGGTTATTTGATTTATTAGTTTCATTTATGTTAATTTTATTTGTTTATATCTTTTATATTTATCTTATTAGTTATGTTGGCTTATGAGATATATTCTTATATGTACTGTAATTATTTATATGTGATTACAAACGTCAAAGCAAGTATATAAGTTCTATCAATGAAGTTTATTTCAAACTCCCAAGTAATATTCCAAAACTATATCTTTATTTTGTCCCTGAGAAATCTCATTATTTTTATCCGTAGATTCAATAGTAGATTTTATTTATACCCAATTCAACTTTATTGACTACACTTACATATTTATATTTTTCTCCATTAGATAAAATATTTCCGCTAACGTAATTCTGCACTACAAGTCCATATAAATTCTTTGAATTATATATATAAAGTTAGCTCTGAGCTAAATAATTATATTTATAGCTTCTTGAACTTAGAATTATTAAGCTCTTTTTGAACAACTGCATTATTACTTAAACTTTAATTCCATTCAGTTATTATTTCTTTATATTTTACTAAGTTCTCTTTTAGCAATAGATTTTATATTTTTGAATTTGAACCATTTTTACGAAACAATATTAATTTGTATATATCCATCAAAATCATCGATAGAAATATTTCTTTTTTTTGTAACAAATACGTGAATTCCATACTCTTATACAGTATTACATTCATTACATTTCTTATATATCCTTTTTACGTTTTGGTTTGTGACATTTTCCTAAAAAAAATAGAAAATTTTGAGGATGACGAAGTTACATCGTTATCAGAATATGTGCGGGTCGAGAGAATCATATGATAGTGATCCCGGAGGGCTCAGTATCAGATGACATCCAGCGAAAATCTGTGCAATTCAAACCCCGAGAATACGTGTGGAATCATTATCTGTCATCATAATATATACTGTACTTTATAACATAATAAATAGTAACAGATTGGAATAGAGAAGTTCCTTTAAGAACATATGATTGTTATTTTGTGGCGTTAAAAATTGAAAAAGCAATGTGTATCTTTTATTGAATGACTTTATTGATTATACAGTATATATAAAAATGAATGTCGTCGCCTTATTACATATAAATCATTCATTACAAATATATTAATGTAATTAGATTTTCATACAATAAAACAAACCATTAAAATTTTTGAGTCTATAATAAAACACATATTGTATAAATATATAATAATTATAATTCCTAGATTATAATTCCGTTCGCATCATGTGTTGATAGATCATTGCACAATTATCTCGATAAAGAAAGCACCTCCATATTTTTTGTGAATCATAAGCTATTTCCGCATTGATTATTGTACATCAAGATTGACATATTCATTTATCGCTATTTTCGGATTTTTTTTTAATTATTCAATTAAAGGTTCCTTAACGTACGCACCGTGTGTACGTACATCCTGCCAGAGTTTAGGAGTTATGCACTTGCACGTGATAGCGTTAAACTTAACTCCCCGGTGCGTACGTTAATATCGTACACATGATAATGATTTAATCGAATATAAACAGGTTATAATAAAAGGGGTATGACAAAATAAAGTTCTCTTATTATTATTACAATTTTCTCAACTGACTTCAAATTGCTCTTTTTAAAAGTTCCCGAATATAAGTTTGTTGAACAAGTTACGCTCGTAAATAAATCTAATGAATGAATATCGTGTTAAGAATGTTTTTTCAAAAAAAAAACTTAAACATTAATTTAATTCATATTCGAATAAATTAATTTTTATGTAACTTTAGGTTTAGATTAAAATTAAATGTTATTCTCAATTGAATTTTACAAATCAATGTTATGTAAATTGAGATTTTTGAAATTTCGAAAATATTATTTTCAAAAATATTATGATTTATGATAATTACATTAAAGGATTATATTTTACTGCGAAACTATCTTCGCGGAAATATAATTGTCACGTTTATTTTTACAATGTACTGTAAACTCAATTTAAAGACTCCAACAGACTACTTTTATATCGGCACAAATAATCCGATATTTAGTAATTATATGTAATTATATTAAACATGAAATGGCAATTTTGAAATTCTTTATTAGGATCGCTTGGTCTTGTAATTTTTTGTGTTGGTTGTTGCCAACAATTTATGTTCTTGTCACGACTGTCATGTGTATAATAATGTACTACATCTTAATTTAAAAAAAATTTCTTTATTTACCTTATTTACCTCGCTTTCTCCAGACGTATTTATCGTATAAGGTTCTACTGGGCTAATACATACTGTATATACGGTATATAGTGTAAAAATAACATTTTATAAAGCCAAATACTGATCAATCACGTAATTTTTTCTGATACCCGATTTTCTGTCCCCTTTATGTAAACTCATTCATCAATAATACATGATATCATATTTATCCCAGAGTTTCAAATAGTTTATTTTAAAATTCTCCCGTAATATTTTACTGTACTTTTATTTGACGTCACGCCAGATTCTCATTCTCCGCAGATCCGATCCTTTGCAGTTAAATCATGGAATTAAATTCTTAACAGTTTATTAAATAATACATTTGAGTCTAATTTTTTTTAAGAAAAAAGATAATATATGGGATAGAGTTAATGAAAGAAGTCAAAAAATAATTCTAGTGTATCACGTGACCTACAATCTCGCTTCGCGGTGACTTCGCTACCGCTGTTGATTGGATTGTACATATATATTACTATGATTCATTTATTTGACCGATTGGTGACTGATTATTCCCTATAACGTTCAACATAATACATGATTTACACACAATTATTTAAGCGCACATATAATTGTTTCACAATTATTTTTTATTGTTCTTTAAAAATTAATGCACGAGTTTAGTCACTTTTCTTCAGTATATTGATACTTACTTATTGTTACTTGAACGTGATGTTATTTATTTTGTATGGGAATTGTCGTAAAATGGTACACCGTACAGTACATACGTCAAGTATTTTGTATATTCTGGACGGACATACCTATAAAAAAAAATTCTCTAAAAATTTTTGTATGTCCTGAAAACATCTCTATGAGTCCTTAAAATATCTGGATGGTTTAAGTTTTCAAAGCACCTTGCGTTTTTTATGACATTGATCTTCTTGCTGATGATTAACGATCTATCTTAGGAAGGAGGAATTTGAAGTTTTAATAATTTTAAAGGGTTTCAGGTAGCTTCTGCTTATTTTTGGTCCTTTTCATTATGTAAATGTAAATGACAAAATCAACTCATTCCATTTAGATATAAAGTTGTAATAATTTTCTTCCATTTGCGTAACATTGAAATTATTTCTAATGTATTATTACTAATTGATGAAAAAATAAACATATATAAAAATAACAAAATATATATATAGATAAAGTTCCCATCTTATTCGGTATTTATATATTGATAAAGATCACGCTCATCATAAAATCTTGATTCCGACTCTGCTAAGAAATTGGCAAATAATTTCGGTAAGGTTAACCTTACATTTTGATTGTATTTCTGGTTAAAAGACAAACCTTTTAATTGATTCAAGTGCACCAATTGTATCATCATTATCGGATTGATAATCATTTATCCATTTTTTAGAAAAAACTGGAAACAGGATTATTGATCCTATGCTACTTGACGCTAACTGACTAATTAATTTGTCACGGGCACTCAAAATAGTAGTCATTTGCTTTCTTTCTGATTCTTCCTTCGATAATCGTAGTTTGTTATTGATGGTAATCTTATTTGATTTACCAGTTGCTTTATCAACAGCAGAAACCTATAATTGATTAAATTTAAAATGAGACAATCAATTTAATAATATTATATAATACTTATATAAATACATACGTTTAAGTTACCGTTTACATCAATATCAAAGGTAACTTCAATTTGCGGAACTCCTCTTGGTTCTGGTAGAATACCAGTAAATTCAAATATTCCTATTAAATGGTTATCTATTGTTCGGATACATTCACCTTCATATACTTTTATTAACATATTAGACTGATTATCAGAATACGTGGAAAAAAATTTAGATCTCTTAGCAGGTATTGTGGTATTACGTTTAATAAGTGGTGTCATAATACCGCTAGCAGTTTCAATACCTAGAGATAAAGGGGTGACATCAAGTAAAAGTAAATTTTGAATTTTTTCGGGAGTATCACCAGATGAAAGCTTGGCAGCTTGTAATACATCACCGTATACTACGGCACCGTATACTGCGGCCTCATCAGGAATAGATTTATTTAGTTCTTTGTTATTAAAGAACTCAGATATTATCATTTGAATTTTGGGAATAATTGTTGAGCCACCAACCAGAACAATTTTATCAACGTGACTTTTGTCAATGTTAGCATCTCGAAGTACTTTCTCAACAGGTTCTATTATAGAACGGAACAGATCTTGATTCAATTCTTCAAATCTGGTACGTGTCAATGAGGTATAGAAATCAATACCATCGAAAAGAGAATCGATTTCAATAAAAGTTTGTGTTGAAGTTGAAAGTATTCGTTTTGCATGTTCACATGCCGATCTTAAACGACGGATAGCACGTGCATTGGATGAAATATCTTTGTTAAATTTACTTTTGAATTCTTGTACAAAATGATTTACAAGACGATTGTCAAAATCTTCACCACCGAGATGATTGTTACCAGCAACAGCTTTTACTTCAAAAATTTCATCATCAATAGTTATGAGAGAAACATTACAAGTACCACCGCCCAAATCAAAGATAAGAACATTTTGTTCTCTAGAAGTTTTCTTGTCCAACCCATAAGCAATAGCCGCTGCGGATGATGTATTTATGATACGAAATATATTCAAACCCGCAATCAAAACTGCATCCTTTATAGCTTGACGTTGAGAATCATTAAAATATACTGGCACTGTAATTACAGCATTTCTAATTTGTTTACCAAGGTAATCCTCTGCGGTTTCTTTCATTTTTTTCAATATCATGGATATAATTTCTTCGGGTGTGAAATCAGTCTTTTTACATTTGTAACGGACACTAATGTATGGTTTACCACTCTTGTTGATAACTTTGAATGGCCAATGCTAATATGTGTATTAAAGAAAGAACTTATTTAATCTTTTAAATGCTAAATTTTTTTGAGCGATGAATAGAGACGATTATTTATTGTTCTTTATAGAAGCCATACCTTCATATCAGATTGGACGTCCTGATCATTGAAATTACGACCAATGAGACGGTGAACATCGAAAACGGTATTATGAGGATTTATAACAGCTTTATTTTTGGCCACATCTCCAATAAGAATTTTCGTATCAGTGAAAGCGACATATGATGGTATTTTGGCAATAATTTTAACTCCGCCATTTTTCCAAACACCAACACAAGAGTATGAAGTCCCCAAGTCAATACCGACTATAAATTAACATATTAAAAATTTTGAAAAAAAGAATTATTTAGTCTAGGAATGTAAATATACCGCTCATCAAAATTTTTCTATCGAGTTTTAAGTAAATAAATGAATGTTTTTAGGAAATTTTAATAAAAAAATAATTTGGGAATAAGGCATTCCATTTTATAGGAAATAGAATGAGGAATTTCTTTTGTGCTACTTTCATCAATTAATCTATAATGAATCGTGTATTACACAACTATATTCTAAATGTTATTTGAATAGTTTATGATAGCGCAGTGTATATATTAACTGGAGGGTTGGCCTTGTTTAAGTATTTAACGTAGTTAAAGTCGTCATATTATGGTATTATGGTTAATCCAATCATAATGGTTACACAAAATTTAGTAGTGTGAGAAACTGTTACCAATTAACGCGTTACTTACAGTATAATCAATTGACTTAAAAGGTAAATACTAAATAGTACATTTCATAATGATGTTTTAATGAGAAAAATTTGAATGAATATAATTAACCCGAAAATTTATAATGACATAAATTTTCATCAAATAATTATGTAATAATTGATCGAAATTTCCTTAAAATTTTCGTTATTTAACGTAGTCACCGAAATTTCTGAATTTTTCATTTGTAAATCATAATGAAAATCGAAATTTTGCTTTTGAAAATTGTTCATTCTAATACGTTTCCGTTTAATTAAAAGAGATTCCGAAATAATAAATGACTTGATGATAATTTCAATTAAAGTTTCCTTTATATTGTAGTAATTTCTTGTTCATACATAATCACTTTTTTGCCTGTTAATTATGAATTCTAAGATAAAACTTTTCTTTGTAAACCTTTGTTTTGTGTATCTTATAAAATAAAATAATATTTTTCCACAAATTTAATGATGTGTTTCGGGTTTAAATCAGTACGGTCAGCTCTTTCTATAGCGAATTTTAATATAACGAATTTCACGATATAACGAATCTTTAGTGTGGTACGCATTTAAATCATATGAAAAAAAAATTGTTACACCGAATTTTACTAATGAATGCAGTATAACGTTGGACGAAGAAAAACTTCTAAATTCACAGATGTAAGTGACCCCCTTTTATAACGAATTTCTTTAAAACGAATTTTTTTTTTAATATAACAAAGATTTTTGCAAGATAAATTTTAATATAAAGGGCAGTTTGATGCTGGTTTTTATGGAATTTTTCTCAAATAAGCGATTTTACCATTTTAAATTCATTTTATCAAAAAGATGGATGATTTATGTTTTCTTTGCCTTCGTGAGAATGACGTTCTACAAATATTTTGATTTTCCTCTATTTTACTGCATTATTCCAAATTTTTCCGCTATAACGAATAATTCGTTATAGCATTTCTCATAACGAAGGCCTGATCGGCCCGGACGCCTACTTCGTTATATCGAGGGCCGACTGTATTCAGCATTGTGTTAACGAGAATATCAATAAGATATAGTTAATGTTGGTAAATTGTGAACATCTTGAAAACTGTATAACAACTGATTGAGTGTTTTAGTACTTTCTAATCATTTTTTTTTTTGTTATGTACAGTATATCTACCTAACTTAAGCTTGTTGGTTACAATTTCCCATGCTACTGTTTTTGTGTTATGTACTACCATTCAATTACTGCTTTTTTCACATGTTGCTGGAAATTCTTAATAAAATGCAACCTATTCCCTGAAATTTTTTTATTCAATTAAATATATTCATTTATAGAAAAAAAAAATCCCTAATGTATCGTAGAGCAATCGGTATTGATTTAGGAACGTCATACTGCTGTGTTGGTGTTTGGCAAAATGATAGAGTTGAAATTATTACAAATGACCAGGGTAATCGTACAACACCATCATATGTAGCTTTCACTGATACAGAGATTCTTATTGGAGAAGCGGCTAAAAATCAAGCTGTTATGAATCCACATAATACTGTATTTAGTGTTCATCGTCTCATTGGTCGTAATTTCAATGATCAGGACGTCCAATCTGATATGAAGGTATGTTCTATGGATAAAAAAAATGAAATTTTAATTCAAAAATGAAAAAAAAAATTTATTGCTTCTTAAAAATTGTGTTATAAAAACAATTAAGAAATCTTTTCAAAACAAAAATGTTAAATATATAAGTATTGGCCGTTCAAAGTCATCAACAAAAATGACAAACCATTTATTAACGTCGAATACAAAGGCGAAAAGAGAGATTTCACACCCGTAGAAATTTTATCCATGTTATTGGTTAAAATGAAAGAAACCGCAGAAGATTATCTTGGTATAACAGTTAAAAATACTGTAATTACAGTTCCAGCTTACTTTAACAAATCTCAACGTCAAGCTATAAAAGATGCTGGTTTGATTGCGGGTTTAAATGTACTTCGTATCATTACTGGACCAACTGCAGCGGCTATTGCTTACGGATTGGATAACAAAGCTCCTGGGGAACGAAATGTTCTTATCTTTGATTTGGGTGGTGGCACTTGTAACGTCTCTCTATTAATTATTAAAGATGGAATTTTTGAAGTATATTCTGTTGCTGGTGATACTCATCTTGGTGGTGAAGATTTTGACAATCGTCTTGTAAATCATTATATACAAGAATTCAAAAGCAAATTTAAGAAAGATATTTCTTCTAACATTCGCGCTATTCATCGTTTAAGAACGGCATGTGAACATGCAAAATGTATACTTTCAACATCAACACAAACTTCCATTGTAATTGATTCTCTTTACGAAGGTATTGACTTCTATACCTCTTTGACACGTACCAGATTTGAAGAATTGAATAAAGATCTGTTTCGTTCTGTCATGAAACATGTTGAGAAGGTAGTATTTCAGGACGATAGAATTTATAGAATTGACAAAAGTCAAGTCCATGAAATTATCTTGGTTGGTTGTTCAACGTATGTTCCCAAGATTCAAAGGATGATATCTATATTCTTTAATAACAAAAAACTAAACAAGTTTGTTAATCCTGCTGAAGCTGCAGCCTACGGTGCTGCCGTACAAGCTGCTATTTTATCTGGTGATACTTCTGAAAAGACTCAAGATCTACTTTTACTTGATGTCGCTCCTTTACCTCTGGGTATCGAAACTGCTGGTGGTGTTATGACACCAGTTATTAAACGTAATACTACAGTACCCATTAAGAAATCTGAAATTATATCTACAGATTTTGATAATCAGTCTAGTGTATCAATTAAAATATATGAAGGTGAAAGTACTCAAACAAGAGATAACAACTTTCTCGGAAAATTCGAATTATCTGGAATTTATTCAGCGCCAAAAGGTGTTCCACAAATTGAAGTTACCTTTGATATTGACTTAAATGACAACTTGAACGTTTGTATTCATGCAATATTTAGATATAAAGATAATTTTTTTTCTTTTTAATGTAAGTTTATTAAATTAACTTTCTTAATCAATTAAAGGTTTCTGCTGTTGATGAAACAACCGGAAGATCAAATAAGATTATTGTCACTAATGACAAAGAACGATTATCGAAGGAAGAAATCGAACGCATGGGTTTGAATCAATTTTCAATATTCACATTTTAATAATCATCCAGTAAATACTAAGTTTAATTATTTACATAATTACAGTTTGTGAAGCTGAAAAATATCATGTAGAAAGAAAACAATATGCACAAAAAATAGAAGCACAAAATTGCTTGGAATCTTATGCATACAAATTACTTGACGTAGTTAAAGTAAGTTACTCAGATTGTTGTTAAAGTCCTGTATACTTGATTAAGTGTATAACCTTACTTTTAAAAAATTAACTTGAATTTAGGATATTGATGATATAAAGTATAAACTTCACGATGCAGCACAAAAATCAATTACATGGCTTGAGAATAACCCAGAAGCAAGGAAGGATGAATATGAAAATGAACAAAAATTACTTGAAGAGAATACTGACCTAATAATAAATAAACTTTATAGCTTAAATATTTTCTCTAATTCAAATGTTTTATAAAGTTTTTATTAAATACAGAATAATAATATATATTTAGGTAAATAAATGATTGCTATATAAATAATTTTAAATTATTTTACATTTATAATTTTTATATTACAAACACTCAGCCTGGTGGTTTACTACAGTATCAAAAAAATTTTCTTTTTATAGTTTGTCGCATATGCATTGTTAAAATGAATTTCATCACAAAAATTTTGATACTCGTGCAATATTTTATGGAAAGCCACCATGGTCAAAAGTGCGTAGCAAAACATAGCGTGTACATGCTATATTTCACGGCGGGTTACCCCTGTTCTGTCTGTTAACATGCAATTTCAGGGGTAACCTGTTGCAAAAAATAGCGTTTAATTATGGAAAGCCGCCATGGTCAAAAGTGCGTAGCAAAACATAGCGTGTATACGCTATGTTTTGTAGTACGTATACGTTATATTTCACGGCGGGTTACCCCTGTTCTGTCTGTTTCAGGGGTAACCTGTTGCAAAAAATAGCGTTTAATACGCTATATTTCATAGCGTTATATACGTTATATGTTATGAC